AATAATAGATTTTAGAAAAGAAAGGCCAACGTGAAATGATCATAATTAAAGCAAGGTTGAACAATTACGAACAACTTGTGTTATCAAAGGCAATGTGTTGTTTTACCTTGATGTATTATTCCATTACTCTCTAGATCATCCACAGTCTCAGCAAGTAGCACATATACCAACAGGTATGTTTATGATTTTTTTAAAATAATGGATCACATACTTTATATCTGATGGAAGATGGTGCTGGTTTATTTGAAAACAAACGTTTTGTTGCAACTAACTGGTTTTAAAAGTCATCTGTACTGCTGGATAATGGTTTAAAAGTTAATCTCATGCTATTATTTTTCCAGAATCTCCAACCCCCTAATTTCATTATTTATTCGGTCTTTTAAACAACATTATGCATAAACAGAAAATAAATAAGTACTGAAATTTGGGGAGACCAGGGATCAATTGCATTGGCATCATTTTTTTCTTTTGTGAAAGTTTTAATTTTCTTTTCTTTTTCCTAAAACTCATGTCAGATACAGATAATCACGGTTTCTATATAATAATTATCTTGTGTGTTAGGCTTTGTGGATGACGCCACCATTGTGACAGTTTCTGACGATTTGAGTCTCAGCTGGAGAAGGTTTGGTGTCCGTTTGGGGCTTAAGTGGTCAAAAGTGAATGTGTTCAATGCTAATGATATGCAGACTGATAAGGCTGCCGAAAATATGATGAATTACTGGAGGAGCAGACTTGGTACCGATGTTCATCAACGTAAAGTGTTGTGCACTGCTCTGACACAACATAAGCTCAGGCAACTAGCTGAAGATTTGTTAAAGTGTGAAATTAGCAACGCAAATCTTGTCCCTCAACAAGCAGGTAAGTATTTGATTTCGGAAATACATAGAAAATTAACCTCATATAGCTTGTTTCTATTTTGACCAAAGTAACAAATAGTACACACCACTGTCAATGATGTCATTAACTAAGTGTTTTTTACTTGCTGTGTAATCTCTATAAGGAAAATGTTGTAATGATCAAGATTTGCTGTTCATTTGCGACAATCTGGATCCCGAATCATGGAGGAGACTGGGAGTACGTCTTGGACTCAAGTGGACCGATATAAAAAAGATAGCAAAAAACAACAGATTGGTTGATGACTGCATCATGGAATTGCTGGTTACTTGGAGGAATAACCAATCAAGGAGCCAACAAGTACCAACCATGGTGAACGCTTTGAGACAACATAATTTTGTTGGACTTGCACAACGTGTATGTGAAAGGCATGGTTACAGTGACGAGTCAGAATTTGCAGCTCAAATAAATCAGCCTCAAATTCCAACACCAGTTCAAAGTTAGTGAAATTTAATAAATATATAATGCTACCATTTACGCACATCCTGGGAAACATAGCTAGCACGATTCCGATGCATCACGTGTTATGCTCTTTTATACAAAGAGGTATATTTCAAAATTATTTTTCCCCACACCTTAAGTCGCTTTGCGAACTTCCATGATCACTGGACCCTTTAAATTGGTTTGATCTACAAACTTTGCCCCTGTTATAATATAGTTGAGAACTTTTGGTACACACACTGTGTCCCTAAATACTTGTGAGGGAAAATCTTATAAGTAATTCGGTTCAGAATTGAACCCGCAGACTCCTGGTATCATAACCACTAGACCGCTAATCTTTTACTTAGTATCTGTATGATTTTGAATTAGAAAAATATTTTGATGATCAAGATTTGCTGTTCATCTGCGACAATCTGGATTCCAAATATTGGAGGAGACTAGGAGAGCGTCTTGGACTCAAGCAGACCAATATTGATAAGATAGAAAACAACAACAAAGATGTGGAAGACTCAATCATGGAATTGCTGGTTATTTGGAGGGATAGCCAATCAACAAACCAAGTACCAATCATGATGAATGCTTTGAGGCAAGAGAAGCTTTTTGGACTTGCAAAAAGTGTGTGTGAAAGGCAAGGCTACAGCGATGATTTAGAAGTTGCGCCAACTGAGATAAATCTGAATCAAAAAACAAAACCAATGCAAGGTTAGTGATCTTTATTGCCATTTTTGTGCTTACTATGGAACATTGCTGGTACGATTCCTTTGCATCACGTTCTGTGGACAGTAATATTTTAAATGTTGGGTTCAATGAAAGAATAATTGAAGATTGTGTTGTTTATGGTTGATAATAAAACTACTACAGATTCTAGTCTTCAGTCATGTTAAGAAATTAATAAAAAGAGTGCGTGATTAATATTGATTATGTTGGAACCAATTGTATGAATGTTAATAAATACTCAGTGTATGGAGTCGGTAGTATGAATGGTATCTTTTATTGTGTATTTTTTATTCATAAAACTTGGAACCAATAATATGCATATGAAATGTATTTTAAAGCCGGTAGTTAATGTTAATAATTATTAATATTTTCAAGAAAATGGTAGATAACATTCAGGTCAATCGAAACGTAGCTTGGGCTGTTTAATTAATTGGTGTTACCACCCCACAGGGCAGTTCCAACAATTGGGGAGAAATTCTGTTACATAGCTCCCCTCTTAGCCTGATTCGTCCCTTGAATCAAATATAAACTTTACACATCAATAACGAAATTTTATTAAGATAACAATAAGTCTAATCAAAGGTTCTACTGTGCCTCCGATATGATTGCTTGTTGACGAACTCTAACAAAGTGTCTAGTGTGCATCTGTGTCATTAACTAATTTAACTAATTATTAACTTTTTAGTTCCTATGCATGTAATGCAATAGGAACTATTGTAATCACTCTTGCTATTTCCTATGTTTTTTATTGTGTGTAGTGTGTATGTGTGTGTGTAGACATTTATGCAAATGCGCATGCG